CTTGATCTGCGTGGGGCAGCATGGGGTTTAGCAGGCAAAGGCTGGCGCTGGAGCGCGGGAACGGTGTGTGCGGTGCGGAGCAGAGGGTCCCCGGGCGGCAGGTCCCAGGGGTCTGGGGTCAGATTGTGGGGTAGGCAAGTTCTGTCTGGGTCATTGAAGAGTAAGGTCCGGCAGGGCAGTGTCTGGGTCAGCGGCTGCCGTCAGAGGTCTCCTGGGTATCCAGATGGCCCCCTGCACCCCCCTCCCGGGGCAGAGGCCTTTAGCAGGGAGTCCCTTGCATGACTTGACACTCGGGTGGGCGGCAGGTCGCGTGGAAGCACTTCCCGCCTAGCTTTGTAGAGCTGTTTCTCCAGGCCCTGGCTGTATCCTGTTCAGAATTGCTGACTCCCTCCCGGAGTCCTGTACAACTTGCGGCCCTGTCGCCTGCCGCCCACCGCCCGCCGCTGCCCCTCCAAAGCCAGGTTCCTGACGTTTAGTTAGCTGTTTTAAGCCAGCTGCCCAGAGCCCACTCACTCAGCCCCTCCCCGCACCGCGCGGGAGGAATGGGTATCAGGTGGAGACCAGGCTGTGCGACCCGCAGTCTCCTTCACAGTAGGCGTGTTCTGTCCAGATGTGCCCTGGAGACCGTCGGACACCCTGGCCCAGCCCCGTGGCCCAGAAGGGGACACAGTGCCTCCTTCTTGGGCCGCAGCGAAGGTGTCCGTAAGGAATGAAAGGTCTCAGTATTCCTCCTTGGCCTGCACACTGTGGGCCCTTCATGTGGGGCACAGATGTTGACTGAGGCTTCTTGGCAGGGTGCACAGAGGACAAAGGCGACGGCGCTGGGGTCCTGCCCGTGGGGAGGTACAGGCGCGGGCATAGAGTCTCTGCTGGGCAGCCCCAGAGGGAGGCGTCTGCCTGGCTCTTGAATACCAGCTGCTGTTAGCGGTGAGGGGTGTGCACCCGGGATGCCCTGTGCCTCACTCCAGGGCTACAGGGTGAAGAGTCTCACGTTTCACATCCTCATGTGCGGCAGAGTGGAGGTGACAGGGTGACACGGCAGTGTCCACTGAGGTCTGTCTTGGTAGCTAGCGGGACCGTTCCCTTGCTTATTATTATTATTATAATTATTATTATTATTATTTTGCCTTTTTGAGACAGGCTGGTCTAGAACTCACTTTGTAGCCCAGGCTGGTCTCGAACTCTCGAGTCTTTCTGCTTCAGCCTCCCAAGTGCTGGGAGTCAGGCGTGTGCCACCACGCCTGGCTATGTTACTTTTGTAGGGCACTGAGTGCAAGACGTTTTCTTCCAAAAACGCTGGCGCTGTTTCTCTTTCTCTGTTTTGAGACAGTGTCTTGCTGTCTAGTCCTGCTGGCCTTCAATTAATTATGTATCCCAGGCTGGCCTTCATTTAATTACATAGCCTGGGCTGGCCTTGAGCTCATAGCAATCCTCCTGCCTCAGCCTCTGTGCACTAAGTCCCAGTGATGAACGCAGTCATTATATACATCAAACGTACAAATATAGAAACTAAATCTAGGCTTAACAAATGGGAAAACAATCTCTTGAAATAGTGCAGACGGGGAAATGGCCTTAAGTGAGCACCAGTCCTTGGAGTACAGCCCTTGTGTGGTGCGGCTTGGCTGCATAGGCTGCGGAGGCTCCTGTGAACTTGGAAATTGTCACCTGCGGTTTTTGCTCCACCCCATCCAGAGCAGAGGGTTTCATTGGTGTGGGGCGAAGATGCTCTCAGCGTGTGGTGCAGGGGGCTCGGGTGGGTGCTCCGAGGCAACAGTAGCTCCTGTGCGCCCAGGCGGGAGGGTGGATGGCTATGGAGCTGGCTGTCAGCCTGGTCCCCGGTGATATCCAGCTCTGTGTGTGTGTGTGTGTGTGTGTGTGTGTGTGTGTGTGTGTGTGTGTGTGTGTGTGTTTGTGGTGGTGGTGGTGAGGCTTGCAGTTGTAAGCTGAGTGTGCGCTTGCCCTGTAAGACAGATTGTCATTACATCTCAGGAAATCTGGTCTGTTGAAAATGAGAGTTCAGGGTGTTCATCTGGTTTTAGTTTCCTAGGACCCTAATTGTACATTTGAACTGAAAACAACCCAGGTTAGGATTTTTAGACCAAAGACCTGTTTTCACGTTAGGGTGTTGAACCGATGCCGTTAGCAGGTCTGGTGGTGTACACCTGTGACCCCAGTACTCAGGAGGCTGAGGCAAGAGGGTTCAAAGGTCCAGCCCAGTCTGTATACCTTAGCAACTTGTTGCCTGTCTCAAAGTAAAAAATAAAAAAAGTGCTGGGGATTTAGGTCAGTGTGAAGGCCGACGGTTCAGTCTTCACTACCAGGAAAAAAAATCCTGCTGGGATTTTATCTGAGAGTATCTCGAGTCTGTAGGTTATTGAAGAAGGGACCATCACGTTATCCTGGGTTCCCTAAGCTGGTTAGCGCTCACATCTGTTCAGTTGTGCACGTCTTTTTTTTTTTTTTTTTCCAAAGTTTTATTGATAAACATATAGCAATGAGACAGTTTCAAATCAATTCGAAAGTACAGTTTCAACAAATGATACACTGCATATATTCTTCTTAGTGGTTAAATGCTGTACAAGATGCGGACTTGTGATCCTACTTACAAACACCATTAGAAAAAATCATTCTATTCATTAAGAGAATGCAACTATATATCTATCCCAACCACTTTCAATACACAGATACAAAATGGACATTTATAGTTATACCCCATTTTTTTAAAGTTCCGTTATTGAATATTATAGGTGTGTAAACTCAGCGAAATATTCTAAAAGAGACCAGTAGCCCATAATAGCATTGGGTCTTCTGTTTAACTGGCAATGTCAGAAATTATTGACCTGAGTCCAAGTTGTGTAGGTCTTCAGTTTCTTTCAGGAATGGTTTATACTTTTTCCAGTATTGGGAATCGAACTCACGACTTCACACTTACCAGGTGCTCTGCTGCTGAGCTACATCCCCGTCCTCGTTTTGTAGTAGTTCTTGGCTTATAGGTCCTTCCCACCCTTTTTTGAATTGATCCCTAGATATTTAGCATTTTTAAGGGTCTTTTGGTTATTTTATTTTTTATGTATTTAGTACAGAGACTACAGGGTCTCACTACACAGATAGAACTCATAATGATATTCCTGTTTTCAGCCTCCCAAACGCTGGGGTTACAGGTGCATGCCACCATGTCCAGTCTCAGACACTGTCTCAGTGAGCCCGGGGGGCTGGGCTGGCACAGAATGCCGAGTACTGAACCCTGGTTCCCTGTGTCTGCCTAAGCAGGAGTTTTAATCTGCTGAGCTATCTGGCCGGCCCTATTTAGGGTCTTTTAAAAAGGGCTACTGTTTCCAAAAATCATTTCTTTTTTCTTTTTCCTTTTTTTTTTTTTTTTTTTTTTGGTACTGGGGGATTGAACTGAGGACCTTGCGTAGCAAGGCCCGAGAATCATTTCTGGAGTGAGTCGTGTTTGGATTCTGGCCTCATTCCTGTTAGCTTTGCTGCGCCCGCGGGTCAGTTCCAGGAGCTTTTTGTGGAGCTCATCAGGTCTGGCTTCGCAGAGGAGCATCTGGGCTGTCCCCTGCTGGTTTTACTTCCCGTTGGATTTCCTTTCCCTCTCTGGTGCTGGGTGGAAGCGGCAGTGCTGGGAAGTAGAGGCGCTGGCCTCAGCCCCCGCCTGTCCTGAAGGACAGCATTGTCTGTTATCAAGGGGTATGGTGTTTGCTGGCTTTTTCATAGATTTACTTTATCAAGTTGAGGAAGTTCCTTTCTATTCTTATTTATCGGGGCTTTTGTTTTCCCCCTTTAACCAGAATTGAGGATTGAACCCAGGACTTTCGCCTGGAGCTACATCCCAAACTTTTTTTTTTTTTTTTTTCCTGAGATAGGGTCTCACCAAGTTTCTGAGTCACTCAGGCAGTTTTTAAGCTTGGAAGCCTGCTGCTGCCCCAGCCTGAGTTCTGGGATTACAGGTGCGCACCACCACGTTTTGTTGGTGGTATTTCTGTGTGGATCAAGAACTTTTCTCTTCTTTATTGGCTGATTTTTTTTTTTTTAAACATTTCCCCAAGCCTGCATTTGTTGCATAAACCCAGCTTGCCACGAAATAGTATGCCGTGGGCTATACTGGGTAGCCCGTGGGTTGTTTACAAGTGCTTGTTTAGTTTGCAAAATATTTGGGGATTTCCCAGAGATTTCCTTTTGTGGTCAGAGCAGATTTTTGGTAGGACTTACGCACTTTGGAATTTATTTAGACTTGTTTTAGGTCCCTAAAGGTACTTGGGAGAAAGGTGCACTCCCTGGCCGCAGCATCAAGGGTTTGTCTGGGTTGAGTTCTTTGATCGTGTCCAGAAGTCTTTGCCCCTTGGGCTGGGGAGATAGCGTGGCAGTCTAAGCGCCTGCTTGGCCAAGTGCAAGGACCCAAGTTCCATCCCCCGTGCTGCATGCGGTGCCGGTCCCAAAAACCAAGCATGGTGGTGTATGCCTGTAATCCTAATGCTGGGAGGCTGAGACGGGAGGATCAAAGCTGTGTAGCAAGACCTTGTACCAAATTAATAAATAAAAGATTTTTTTTTTTTTTTAAAGCTGAATAGATTCAGGTCTTTCATGGACATAATGAACTCTTCCCCAGTCCATGCTGAGCCCAGCAGTAACAGGTGGCGGCACGCACATCCTGGGCGGGTCTGACGTGTGTTGAGCGCGTGACCCACGCAGGCCCAGGCACTGAGTGGGGATTTGGTGCCACCGCCGCGCGGAGTCGCGCTCTCTGCATCTGGTTCAGAGCCGTGTGGCTGGCGTGGGGGAGGGGCAGGGAGGGAGGAAGCCGCTCTGGTGCCCCGCGGCGGGCCGGTGGCGCTGCGGCCGCTCGGGGCTCACCCGCCAGGGCACTGCTCGTCGCTGGGCTGGCTCTGCTCTGTGTGCTCTGTAAAGTTCCTGCTCGAGTTGTTCTGCAGACGCTGCTAGATTTATGAGCTCCTGAGGGGCCGAAGAGAGAAGCAGAAATGAACCAAAGAGCTGACCGTCTCTCCCTTTCTCTCGCCAGCCTGAAGAATTTACTGAGAGTCTGCACAATTTTAAGAAAAAGGCTTTTAAAAAATCCAAAGCCTGCGGAGTTTGCAAAGCGCTCATCGACGGCCAGGGGCTTTCGTGCCGAGGTAAGCGCATCTTCTCGCTTGAGGCTGTCCCGCAAGCTGGGCCCACAGCCCACAAGACACAAACAAATAGCAGAATCAAAACAGACTGGGGGAGTTTCCCAGAGTGGAGCCTCGGAATTTCCCTCTCCCGCCCCCTCCATCCCGGCTGTCCTGGGCATGGCCCGCTGTGTTCACAGACTGTGAGGTCGCTGAGGGGACAGAGCCGCTCACCCTGGAGGGGACGGCCACCTGACCTTGCATTCGCTCCTGGTGTCCTGCAGTGGCTAGACTCAGCTTTGTTTGGTTTTGGTTTTTGGTACAGTGTCTTGCTGTGTAGCCCAGGCTGGCCTTGAACTTGCCTTGATCCTTTTGTCTCAGTCTCGGAGTGCTAAGATTATAGGTGTGTACCACCATGCCTGACTTCTTGTGGCAAATTTGCTGAGTTCTGTGGTGTTGGGACCTGCTTCTCCCTTCCTTCTCTGGGTCACCTGGCAGAAGTTCCCTCAGGTGTAGGAGGAAGCTGAGGCATGATGGTCCTGTGGGGGACTCCTGGGAGCCTGTCCGAGGCAGAGCCCACACCGGGGTGGGAAGGCAGCTGTGTGTTCCTTGTTGCCACCACCTTCTGTACATGGGCTCCAAGCGTGTGGTGGGTGCCTGCTGCCCTGCGCTGGCTCCCAGGTACCCACCCAGACCTGATGGTCGCCCTGGTCCTAACAGAGCCCCAGCCGTGCAGTGCCCTACCCCTCCTGTCTTGATGCAGCCTTGGTGGTCCCCAAAAGCTCTTGTCCTACATGTGTCCTTGGCTAAGGTGACTGGGCCGAGGGTCATGAGTGAGGCTGGCTTCCTGTTGGGGCCTGGAGCAAGCCCACCTGGCGTGGCCAGGCCTCCTGGCGTGGTGGTTGAGGTGATGTCCAAGCCAGCTGCAGGCCCTGCCGGTATGGAAGGAAGGAGCCAGGGCAGGGTGGCCTTGGGAGAGCGGACACCCAGACCAGCTGGCAGTGGTGACGGTGGGCCGGGCGGCCTCACTGTGGCTGTGCCCAGGCCCTCTGGTGACCCTGGCTGAACGTGGGCTGAAGAGCTCCTGGGACCACCTCTGGGTCCTGACCTGGGATGTGCAGTCGCCACGGGCCCGCCCCCCTGCCCTGGCCCTGGTGTGACGCCGATGACTCAGGACTTTGCAGGATCCATCCTGCTGTGAGGACACAGTGAGAACGTGGCTCTGGCTTGTGCTCTGGCCCACTGTTATCTTATCTGGAGGGAGATGTGACACTCAGACAGGAGGAGCTTTTGTTCTGAGCAGAACAGAGGGTGTGGCTGTGGGCCCTGGGGAGCTGGGTACAACAGCCCTGGGGAGCTGGGTACCTGCTCTGGGCTTATCCTGCTGCGGGCGATTTAGCCGGGACTCTTAGCAAGATGGTGGCTCCAGGTGGTTGGGAAGTCAGTCAGATGATGGGCTCCGAGAAACCCCTTGATGGCCGCACCCAGACCCTGAGACCTGGCTCTACAGAAGGGCCTGGCCATCCCCATCCATCGCCCAAGCTCTCTGGAGCTCGGTGTCCTGTGGGGCCGCAGGCTCTGGGTTGTGGCCTGGGCCTGTGGGGTGCTGAGTGCCACCTTCCAGGCTGCACTCTGGCAGGAGAGAGCGTGGGTTCCCAGCTCCTGTGTGGCTGACCTGACTCCTCCAGGAAACCACAAGGCCCTGGCTTGCCATGTAAGGAAGTGAGGTGGGTGCAGATGGGTGGCAGTTTCATTTTGGATAAGGAATGTCCCCAGTGGCCTCCTGTCCCAGTAGGCAGAGCTTTGGGAGGTGTTTGGCTGTGGCGCTTGCTGCTGCCTCGATTAGAGGACGGTTGATCATTGCTCGATCAATTTTTTTTTTTTTAATTTTTTTTGCTCAGTTGATTTTGATTCGTGCCCCCAGTTGGTCATCCTATGGCTCTTTCTCCGCCTCGTTGCTTTCTCCCTCCCTTCTTTCTTTTTCCTCAGGGTTGGAGCGAGAGCCTCTGCTCAGAGCTTACGTTTTGTTTTTTAAAATTTGTAATTAAAAAAATTTCTTTTTCATTTCTTGAGTCAGGGTCTCACTGTGTAGCTCAAGTTGGCCTTGGCCCCTCTACGAAGCCAAGGCTGGCCTTAGACTTGAGGTGCTCCTCCTGCCTCAGCCTTCTGGGATGATTACAGCATGCGCCACCATACCCGGTCTTTTTTATTGTGAGGCAGTCTCCCGACATCAGCCAGGCTGGGCTCACGCTTGTGGACCTCCAGCCTCAGCCTCCCCGAGTGCTGCGATCCAGGGGTGTCCACTACACCTAGCTGCAGGTTGTGTTTAACTGGTTTGCATCCAGCCCAGGTAACCTAGCATCTTAATAAGACCTCGTCTCAGCATGAGAAGTAAAACGTGAGCCAGGGATGTAGCTCAGTGCAGAAGTTCGGGGTTTGGTCCTTAGTGCACCCCAAAGACGATTCCGTAGTGTTTGCTGCTTCGAGCCTGTGCACAGGGCACCCACAGGAGCATGCGGGTCTCTGAGCCTGAGCGGTCCCTGTCCTGGAGTGAGTGACCCCAAGCGGGAGGTCACAGAGCGCTCCTCTCTGGAGGCAGAGCCTGAGGGGCTCAGGACACAGGGACACTGCCAGATGCAAGGCGCTCTTTCTTGACTGGGTAAATAATGTGTGGAGCAGCCCGTGGCCTGGGCTCTAGGGCGCAGGAAAACATTGAGAAGAACAGTGTTTCCAGGACAACCTGGAACCATGTCTGCCTGTGGAGCCGCTCAGACAGGATCCCTTGCAGCAGCTGCCAGGAGCCCTGTCTGTTGTTTTTATCTTGTTTTTTGAGGCCCAGTCTCACTCTGTAGCCCTGGCATGGCGACCCTCCTGCCTCAGCCTCCCGAGTGCTAGGATTACAGGCATGCACCACTATGCCTGGCTTCCTCCGGGCATTGAAATAATTAATTTTCTAATCCTTTTACTTTTTTGTGGTCCTGGAGATTCAACCCAAGACCTTCACCCTGAGCCATATCCCCAGCTCTTTTTGAAAAAAAGGAGCTATTTGTATTTTTGATACAAGGTGTGATCCTTGCATCACCCACACTGGCGTTGACCTGGAGCTCCCCTGCTCAGCCTCTCAGAGTCCTGGGATTACAGGTGTGTGCTCCACGCCTGCCTCCACCTGCCCTCCCTTCTTTTTCTTCTTGGTGTCTATGACTTTACATTAGAAATACTAAATATTTCTAAAATGGTGTATTAGGCAAAATCTTGGCTAGATTTCCTTTTTTTTTTTTTTTATGGGTTCTTACCTCTGAAACCTCTGAAAAAACCAGAAGATCATCCTTTTTCTTTCCACTGTATACATTTGAGAGCTCCCCTTTCCGTTCAGTTTCTTCTTGGCTAATTTTGGCTCGTGGCGCAGAGGTTGTGTGGTTCGTTTGCTCTGAGCTGCTGGACTCCCTCAGCATCCACAGGATGTTCTGTGTGCTTCTTTTTCTACTTCCACTTTTCCAATTCTGACCCGATGTCATGGTCAGGGGACCGAAATGCATGTCATCGATGCTATTTGCTTGGCACCTCCTGGCCTCTCCGGTCTGGGCACAGGGCTCCCCACACCACTGTAGCTCCTCACACAGGTTTGTTAACTGCCACAGTGAGTGTCGGCCCCAGACGCAGCCCCCAGCACAGAAGAGCTTTTGCCTGCAGGCTCCGTGAGCCTCTCAGTCCAGCTGCCTGCGATGGGTGTGGAGCCAGGCTGGTGGCCAATTGTGGCCTCCTACGTCGTCATCCCCTTTCCGCAGGCCAGCTCCATGGTGCAGGGTGGTCTGTCAGTCATTCTCCTGGTGCTAGACATGGTACCTGACACCTACAGCTCCGAGGAGGAGACTCATGGTCTTGGGCCCTGGGGTTCAGTCCATGGTCACTGGTTCCAGGGCAGGAGTACAACAGCGAACCGGTGTCATGGATCACACCTGCTCCATTCAGGGCGGCCGGGAAGCAGAGCAGGGGAGCAGTATCTGCAGGGAGGGCTGGGGACCATAGTAGACCACAAGGCCACCTGCCCGGGCCCACCAGACATCACGGAAGCGAGCTCCACTGGGCCCCACTGACCCTCCACCCGGCCACCCTAACAGGTGACTTCCTGTCTGTGCCTCTGGCTGGCCTTTGTGGGATGGAAGGAGAAGGTGTCTTCTGCTCTAGGGACAAGCAGCCCAAAGTACCCAAAGCCTGTGGCAGGTACCCCTGGCACTGTGGCTGGGCCAGGCAGGGAGGAGCCAAGATAGGTCTTCTCAGGAAGGGTGGCCTGGCCAGTGTGCTGGGCTCCACTCCACTCTGCCCCCCAGGACCCCGTCTGAGTGGACTGCACCCCTGGATGAGCTGCTTCCTCTTTGGGGGTCTTTCCCTGAGGCAGGACCCTGCAGTGTCCATGATTTCCCCTCCATTAGGACTGGGTCCCCGCCCCAAGAGACTCACAGGGTTGGTACTGCCACTACACAATGGCTGCCTCCCTGCGGGGTCTCAGGGCCCCGAGAGCTCTGTGGATGGGGCCCCTCCCCAGCACTGCTTGCTGGGCTAGAAATGGAAACAGAGACAGTAAATAAGCCCCTGGTATGTTAATATAAAAATTACAGGTGACTGTTTCAGAGGCAGGGAGAAGAGTGGGCCTCTGTGGGCTCAGTGCCTCTGCCTGCCGCCTCTGCACAGGGCCGCCCTCATGCCTGTTTGCTGGAGGGGTGCTGGAAGGCGAGCTTGTGCCGGTGTAGAGGCGGCTGGCAAAGGAAGCACGTTAGTAGCGCTTGCCCGTATTCTGGATCTTCTGTGATAGCACACAAGCCCAGCCGGCAGTTTGGTTGGTTTCTCTGGAGATGGGGTCTCAATATGTGGGCCAGGTTGGCCTTGAACTCACAACAGTCCTGCCTCAGCTTTCCAAATGCTGGGATCCCAGGCATGTGTTAGTATGCCCAGCTATGACTGAGATCTGTGTGGATAAGATAGTAAGCTGGGATTGGGCGCAGGATGCCCTGGGAGGGAAGGGGGTGCAGGTGCGGTTCTTGGGGCACGATGGGCGCTTGTGCTGCAGACACTGGCCTCTGCTTCCAGCGTGTGTGCAGAGCCCTGGGTTTGCGAGTGTGCGCCCCATGCCTGGCTTCCTTTCTGTTTTATTGGAGCCGCTGCACCTCGAGTCTCTTTATGAAGCAGTTAATGTTGCTCCCTGGTCGTTAGGAAATTCCTGGCCTGTGACGCAGTGCCGACCGCCAGATGTTGGGGCCTTTCTCATACCCCGGCAGGAACCCCATAGGAGCTAAGCGTCCTTGTGATTTTCTCAGGAAAGCCCTAGCAGTTGTCAGGCTCCTGCTTTGGGACACAAGTCTCCCCAAAGTCTAATTTCCAGATGAAATCTCCAGCCTGGCCAGTGGCGTGTGTGGCAGACAGCTCACTTACTGAGAAGCGAACGCCGCTCGCTGATGAATAACCGCATTTTGTCTGCCGGAGTTTGTTCAGATGGAAACCATGGCGTGGCTGCTGGCTGTCGCTGCCCTGCACCCGGTTCTGGTACAGGAAGTGCCCAGCGGCTCCCAGATGTCACAGAGGGGTGTTGGCATTGGGGCATTTACCTGGGACCAGGCTGACTAAAATTAACAATTCTTCTGTGCCATTAGGACAGCTTCATGGAGACTACAAAGTGTAGCGTGGGAGGGGCTCTGCAGCGCAGGTCTGGAGGCCGAGGACTGAGGGCCTGAGGGTCCTGGGCACTCAGTGTGACGCAGATGGTGTTGCGGATGGTGATGCGGAGAGCCCCATGGCAGGAGGACAGGGCTCTGGGGAAGGTCGTGGTCTGTGTCAGTGGTGTCTGTAGCCAGGGTGGCTGGTGACAGCGTTGGTCCAGCCCTGTGCCCGCTGTCTGCTTGTTCTGTCACCCTGGCACCCGGGATTGAGCTGCACTCCCAGGCCCCTTTACTTACCTTGAGACAAGATCTTGTTACGTTGTCCAGACCGGCCTTGAGCTTGGATCTTCCTGCCTCAGCCCCCAGGTTTTGGAGGTGTGTGCCTTTGCGTCAGGCTCTGTTGTGCAGGTCACAGGTGCCGGCTGTTTTCCTGGGACCCTCCAAGACCATCTTAGCAGAGGAACAGAGCTGGGAGCATGGGCTCCTTGCTCACCAGCTGTGGGCAGATGTGGGGCTGAGACAGGAAGATGTTGGTCAGGACCTGAGGGGAAGCAATGGGGACAGGAGGCCCCCTTTGTAAAATTCCAGGTGGCCCAGATTTTCATGTCTAATCTGAGAATCTGCTGTCCAAAATTTGCTGCAAGATCTGGCATATGATGCTCAACAAATTTTAGATTTTGGAGTATTTTAAGATTTTGGATTTGGGGATTAAGGATGGCCAAGGATGAATCTTCCAAGATTGGAAAAAGCGAGGGATCTGTGGCCCTTGGGGGGGCCAGGTGGGGACGCTCCAGCGGTGTTTGTCTTGAGGAGGATCAGATTCCTCGCCCACTGAGAAGAGGAAGGATGGAGGAGCTGTTCCGTGAGCCCTGGGGGTCAAGCGGGGTCCTTGGGGCGCAGGGGCTCAGTGTCATCCCGGAAGTCAGAGCTTCCGCAGTACAGTTGGTTTTCCTGGTGTGACGGAGCCGATAGCTCGGAACCTGCTGGAATTCTGCTCCCGGACGCTGCTGGACTTGCTGAAGATGATTCTCCCCCACTCCCGGGAGCCTTCGGGGGCCATTCCTGCCTGTGCTGGAGGAACTTGGTGCTCGGTGCTCGGCAGTGTGGGCGGGCGCGGCCGAGACTGAGGGACGCTGTGAGCTCGTGCCGCCTGTGCCTTCATGGTTGGGCTGCAACGAGGCCGTGCCGTGCAGTTCATGCGCTCCTGTGGGCATTCAGTTGGGAGTGTGTCCCCAAGGGAGTGGACGCAGCACAGGGGGCCAAGCAGGGACTTCTTCACGCCTGGAAGTGCCTGGTGTCTATCTCTCTTCTTGGCCCAAATCTAATTTCCAGGCCAGCAGGAAAGGTTTCTCCGGCTCCAGCTCGCCCATCTCCATGAGGGGCCAGCTCGGCTGCGTCACGCTGAACAGTCCCGGCTTCCGAAGACCCTGCCCTGGAGAGTTCCATCTGGGCGGGCAGCGCTGTTGCTGGTGGAGCAGTTCTTCCTCATTGTTTTGGCGTTGGGGTCTGAAGCCTGGGTCTCATACACGCCAAGCACACCCTGTGGTGCGGAGCTGGACTCCTGCCCAGCAGCGTGGTCCAGGCTTCTCTCCCTCCTCTGCCTTGTGTCTCAAGTGCTAAATTGTTTTTGTCAGTGGATGTGGTGGCGGGCCTGTAAGCCCAATACTTGGGAGGCTGAAGCAAGGATCTCTGTGAGTTTAAGGCCAGGCTAGGATACCTAATGAGACCCTGTCTCAAAACACACACACACACACACACACACACACACACACACTCACTCACAGAAAAAAAAAGCCAGCAAAAAATTGTTTTTGTTGGGGACAGGCTGCGCATGGGACCTTTCACACTGAACTTTTTTTTTTTTTGGTGGAACTGGGGATTGAACTCAGGCCGTTGTGTTTGCCAGGGAAGCGCTTAATCCACTGAGCCATCTCCCCGGCCCACACTGGATTTTCTTAATGAGCCAGGGTGTTTGGAGATGTAGAAAGCATTGCTGACTCTGGGAGGCTGAGGCAGGGGGATACAAGTTTGAGCTCAGCTTGGTAACTCAGAGAGATCTGGCTCAACATAAAAAATGAAAGAGGGCTGGGAATGTAGTGCGGTGCAGAGGTGCAGGCCTCAGTACGGGAAGAAAGAAAAAGCTGTGGCTGCTGGGGCCGCCTGACGCACTCGCATTCTCTTTTTCTCTTTCAGCCTGCAAGTTCTCCTGCCACAAGAAATGTGAGGCTCAGGTGAGCGTTCCGGCTTCCCGTGGGACTTCTGTAGTGCGCTGGCTGCTGCCGAGTGAAATGCCGAGAAGAGGGCCCCTTGGCCTTGGCCGGCGGCCACAGAAAGTCAGGAACAAACCCGAGAGCTTTGAAATCCATGTTTTCATGATAGAAAATAATTCTCGAGAATTTGATTTCAGATAAGATTCCGATCACTTTTCCTGGGGTTCTTGGTGACAGCGGATCCCCGGTTTCTCCTTGCCTGGCAGCCACTGGGGTGGGAACAGGATTGCAGGGCACAGACCTGGCCTCGAGGACAGCTGAGGATGGGGGATGGCCGCTGTAGAGGACTCTGGGAGCCTGGAGTTGCAGGTGGTACCTGGGCCTGTGTGTCCCCAGAGAGGTTCGAGTGCTGAGGGGTCTCCAGTGGTCCCTGCTGTGCTGGGCTTTCTGGGTTTAGACTCTGAAGAAAGGGGCTTGGGGGGACACTGGAGAAGGGCTGTGGGTCTCTGTTCTCTGAGTTTCCTAGGTACAGTGTGTGATCAGAATACAGTGAATGTTTACATTTTAGGAGCTTACTGTACTAAAGGACACATTGCCACAGATCTGTCCTTAAAGTCCTCCTGCCCACTTCAGATACAGCCATCCCACCGTGGTCATTCTCAGTAGCTCTGGACTCCTCTTGCCCAAGTGTCTTCACAGGGCCTGATCGGAAATACAGTGGGTGCTGCCGCCAAGTGCATCCAGCAGGAGGCGGGCTCGGAGGAACGCGACGCGCTCTCTACCCACTTCCTCACCGAATCTGCGCCCTGTGGCTTCTGGCTTTTCCCCAAAGTCGAAATGAGTACTCACAGGCTATGTTTGAATGGATTTGGGACACTGAGGTGGCCAGGGCCATGCAGCTAAAGTCCCTCAGGAAAGAGGACTCCAGAACTGCTGCAGAAAGCGGCCAGGACGATGGAGTGAGAGCTTGGCGAAGGGGCCCATGGCAACGTGTCTTTTGCTTTAATAGTTTAAAAATGCATAAACATTCACATTGCCTCAGTCCCACTGCATATGCTATAGAACTCAGTGGGTCCCTGCAGAGCCCCTGGCCTCCCCCACCCTATGCACTAAGATGTCCCAGCCAGCTGCCCCACGTACTCAGGGTGTCAGAGACTTGGGGTTCTGCAGCTGCTGTGGACCCAGGACTGTAGGTTGCCCTCTGTGACCTCACTCTCCAGGCCGAAGCTGTGCTGGGAACAGACTCTTTGCATGAGGGAACCAGAGGGCTGATTGATTCCACCTACCTGTCATTTACACACACACACACACACACACACACACACACACACACACACACAGAGGCACCTGGACCCACACTTGCACATACACATGTACACGCTTGTACACATGTACATACACATACTCTGATGCGCGCAGTTGGAAGAAGCAGGCAGGCCTGGCCCTGTTCTTTCCAGACGGATGACACTGCCTCTTCTGGGGACTTCCTAGCTCGCAGCTGCTCTGGCCCGCGTCCCCCCACCCTCCTCTTCCCGGAGGTCACGCGACTGCCTCTCTAGGCTCCGCGGGGTGAGGGAGCAGTTCTGCTGCCCCTTCCGCACCTCTCAGCTGGCTTCCCCTTTCCAGCAGGCAAATTGTTCTGCCCCAGCAGCAGTGCACAGCAGGCGGGGCTGGTGCTAGGCCAGATTTATTGCAGGGTCTCCCACCCAGCCTGGCTCCTCTGTGTGTGCTGCACCCTGCTTTCCTAGGGTGTCCCATCTGACAGGGCTTCCAGGTGTGGTGGTGAGTAGGGGTACGACTTAGACTTATGGGGTCCTCTTCCCTCCACGGTCTTCACGGGGCCCCTTGGCTTTGGGGTCTCTGGTGGCCGACCCATCCTCATAGATTGGTTTAGTTGCAGTGTGGGATTGGGAGAGGGAGTGAGCTGCCTCTTCTCCTGTCCTGTCACCTTCCTATGTCACCTGACTTGCAGAGACAGCCTGACCTATTGGTGAGTTAGGGGCTGAATTATTGGATTCAGAGAACATTCCCGAAGCCTGAATTCTCCCTGCTGGCCCCTTTCTCACCCCCCTGGCTGGCAAGGCACTGAGGGCTACGGTGTGGCTCTGATCAGATGCAGCTGCGGGGAGAGGTATCACATTCTTGTTTTTTGATAACATAGCTTTGGCTGGCAGGAGAAAACCCACCAGCACTAACAAAGCTCCTTGTCATGCCTAAAATAGCCTGCAGCGTTGCTGTGGACCAGGGCTGAGGTTCCCAGCGGCCTGGGGCACCTGGCCAAGAGCAGGACGGGTACAGTTCTGTGGTTCCTGCTGTGCCGCAGCCAGGGCTGGGGTCAGGGGTCGCGTCTGGGTCTGGGGCTCTTTGTGACACTGTGTGTGTATTATGTCTGGGTTTTGGGACCGGGGTTACCGTGTGTGTGTGTGTGTGTGTGTGCGCGCGCATGAGTGCGTGTGCGTGTGCACGTATACACACCCATACTGCAGCTTCTGAAATGGGCTCTTGGGCAGTTATGAGGCTTTGGTGGAAGTGAGTTGGGGTCTCAAGCCACCTGTCTTAGGTACTTTTCTCTTGTTGCTGAGACAAAATACCTGACACCCAGAATTAAGGAAGGAAAGGTTTAATCGGCGCAGTTTGGCATGGCCCAGGGACAACAGTCCATGGCAGCAAGAGCCAGCAAAAGCAAGAGCACAAGGGGAGAGAGTGAGTCCTTACATTACATGCAGGCTGTTGACCTCGGGTGAGTGTGACACTCGCCTCATCTACCTGCACAGGGTGACGGTATTTACAAGGGAGGCCCCTGGCCCCGTGTGGAGTGGCTTATTAGCCGTCTAAGCTTCTCAAGGTGACACAATGGATCAAACATAGCGTCATGGTGGGGTATACACCTCTCACCCACTCGTGCCTGGTGCTGTGGTCCTGTGAGGACCTGTGCCGTCCTGTGAGGCCTCCTGTGTCCCCTTTGGCACTGAGTCTGTGGGACATTGTCTGGCAGAGCTGGAGACTGGGTCCTTGGGGCAGGGTCAGCAGGGAAACAGAGTCATGGCTGAGGCAGTGGCAGCCCCGAAGGTCGAAGTCACTGTCTTCTTGACTTCCTGAGCCACGACAGGTAAGCCACACAGGGCATGGGCAGACAGAGGCAGAGCCTGGGCTCAGGTCTGCATAGGGACAGTTGGGTCCAGTGCCATGTTCAAGTGCCTGTGTCCGTGGGACCCAGTGTAGTGCCGATGGGCCAGTGTACCTGGGAGCCGACCATGCAAGGGAAGCCCCCACTGGGAAGGGCCCCATGTGTCTGAACGCAGGTCATTGGCAGCAGCCAGTCTGTGGGTGCCTTCAGGGGGCAGACTTGTGGCCTCTGGAGACATAGGGGATTGATTACCTAGTGCCAAACAAAGCCTTCCAGCCTTGGGGCAGTCCACGAGGGCCTCAAGATCCCCATGTGCGAGGAGGGAAGGATCCTTCCCTATAACATGAGCATGACTCTTATTATCCGGGAGGCTGAGGCAGGATGCTAGACAGTCTAGCCCAGCTGGGTAACTTAGTGATTTAGCGGCATCTTGTCTCAAAGTAAAATATAAAAAAAACTGTGGGTACAGCTCTGTGCAAAGGCCCTGGGCCAAGTATATGACGCGTCTGAGCCGGGACTGTAATGTCACGGGGGTCCTAAGGAAGGTGGGGTCCAAGTAAGAGCTGGGAAGCTGGGGAGCAGTGCCCTGCTCCCCGGGGCTGCAGTGCTTCCTGAGCCGTGTGAGTGGTGTCGGACTCGTGACTTGCTGTGTTCCTCCTGCTGATGCTGGCACGGGGAAAGTGGAAGTAGAAGCGGGGCGGTTTCAGGAGGGCAGACGCTGGTGAGGAGAGGGTGGTGGGCGGCCAGGACCCCAGGAGGCAGCAGGTCTGGGAAGAGAACAGGGAGCCCATGATGTGGGAACCTGTCCTTGCAGCTCCTGTGTCCTCTGCTCTACCTGTGTTGTGCCCTCTACCTTGGGGCCGTGCAGAGTTCAGGGCACTGGGTTCAGTCCTGAGCTGGTAGAGGCAGCACAGACCTCTGGAGACCCTCTGCATGCACCAGGGTCGTGGTGGGTGGCGACCAGAGATCCTGGGAGCCAGGACACACATGGGCTTTGCCCTCGGTGCCTGTGCGAGTGCGGGAAGATGCCCGCGCCAGCTGCCTGGGCCAGGTGCCCCGGCCGCCCTATGCCTGTACATCTTACTCTGTGAGGTCTTCTAGACATCCTGACCTCTAGAGAGACCCTGCTGTTGTGCCCAGAATCAGTGTCCGCAGGTCACAGAGGTCCCCAGCCAGCTTCATTCTGTGAGGGGCAAGGTGTGCGTGGCCTTGGGGCCAGGCTGGAGTTCCTTGGGCAGCTTAAGATCTAGGTGTCCAGCCTGACCTCCTGCTGGTGTGTAAGGAGTGGGCGTTTGGCCGAGGTGCCCAAATCTGACCTGGTTGGTGCCTCTGCTTGGTGCACATGGTCCTCAGCAGCCACTGATCTCTGCTGTTGGGCTCTGGCCTGCCTCCAGGATAACAAGTCCTGGGGTCCACCGGTCTTTAGCTACTGGTCTGGCCTGACTACCCAGCATAAGGACCCGAAGATGATAGTGAGACCTGGAGAGCTAGGTGGGGTGAGGCATCCACAGTGCAGCAGCAGCAGCAGCAGCAGCAGCAGCAGCAGCAGCAGCAGCAGCAGCAGCAGCAGCAGCACAGGAAGACCAGCACGCCAGAGTGTGTCCTCCAGACTGACCTGAGATGTGGGGGGAGTGCGGCTTATATAGCGGCCACAGGCCTGTGATTGGTCCACATTGGAGCCTGCTGGTTGGTCCCGAGCTGAGCTTGCAATCAGTTCATATTTGAACCAATCATTGGCCTGTATTCAAGACTTGTGATTGGTCCAAATTTGAGCTTGCTGATTGGTCCAACTTAGTCTAAACTTTTTTTGGTTTGTTTTTGGTACCAGGAATCAAACGTAGGATCTTACACTTGCCAGGCAGGAGCTTGTGCCACTGAGTTACCTAACCTGCCC